GCACAGAGCCAGTACTTTGTAAATGTAATGGAACACTATAAGCCCATAACCCGAATTGAACCGACAGTGTCTCTACTATTACAATCGACTCCTGCCAGTCTGTCACTCTAACAAAACGACAGAAAAACGTTCTATACCGCCTTAAAGAAAATTAGGGAAATTCCCACGTTCATCAGCCATTATGTTGTTTAAAATCGATCAAAATACGATAAAAATAACAATATCACAAATTACTAGTATCTTTCACATTATTTTTTCAAATTCGAATTCACGACCTGGTCTTTCCGCTCCCACATTTTCTAAATACGTAATCAGCACCACATTGTTCGAACGTCGCTTCAACTCAATTCATCGCCCTGGTAAAATTGAGACTAAACGAAGGAAATTGTGTTAGTTCAATGGCATGATACAAGTAAATTTGGTAAAAAATTCAATGAAATCAGCATCGATTCTCTGCTGTAATTTGATAAATTATATCATTAAATAAAATTACCAGACCAGTTTACATAGTGCACTCGTACAAAGTGTTACTTAATCGTAAGTTAAACCTCCGAAAAATGCATACTGGTGTTATAGACTGAAATAGTCCTGAGACAGACGCATAAGCCTCTCAAACCGACGATTTGACCATGTCCAGTCGAAATTTAATAATATATAGAGCGTATAAAAGTCCAAGTGTTTCAACCAGTTTTACAGACTAGAGAAGCTTTATTTTATGTTCTAGTTTCTCTAAGTTCAACATCCTCCCTTTTCATGTAACAAAGCACTTGAATTTACAATATATCTAACCATTAAGGAAAGAAACCAAGGAACTGCAAAAGTATACATGCACCAATACATAATTTTCCAGGTCACTGGAATACCCCGAGATGACTATTTAGACAACGCGGACTGCAGAGTAAGCATCACAATATTATCACAGCTGCTTTAAATCTAAAACATCAATCCAAACTAAAAAAAAAAAATCTCATATAAACAACTTTAGGAAGAAGAAAGAAGATGATTGTTTTTATTTTTTGATAACGCGGACTGCAGTGTAAACACTATTAAGCAATGGCCATTGCAGATGGATTTCGTTATGTAACGCGATTAGTCTATTGAAATGAAATGAACATCATTTGAAACAGGAGAGAACCTTTAGCATATCTTTTCATAACGCGGACTGCTGAGTAAACACCTCAATGTAACTACAGCCAATGAAAAGACACCATTTCATGTTTAATAGACTTCAACACGAGGTCAAAAAATCAAATAAGAAAAGTGAAATACAGGGAGCTGATTAGATGAAAAGTAAATGTTGATTTAAATGCAGAATTTGTCAAACTAAATCAACTAATCTATCAACTAGATCTCGTAAAATAACCTTAAATCTCGTCTTTTCTCGTTTAGATTTCAGGATGGCGACATTACGTCGTAAAGACGATAAATCCTTTTCAAATCACTCGTAAAAATCATATTTAAGCGAGGTTATTTCTATCAAAAAGAATTAACTTTTAATTTCCTTATTTGTGAAGCCTCTTTTTTTTTTATTTATTCCAAAGATGAATGGCTTTATTCGTGGATCGTGGAACTTGAAAATGTTTTTTTTAGATTAGAATGAAATCTATCTCACAATTTCAATGTATTTTTTAAAATTAGATTACAGATAAAATTACCATGATATAAATATATTAAATGCTCGCGACACAAAATCAGAAAACGTTCTACAACTCCCTGCAAGCTACTAGACCCTTGGCCAGCTTGATATAAGGCCTGAGGTCTGATGAAGGCTGGATGGGAGAGGATTGGAAGATGCAGTGATGTTGTATGTCTTGACTGTTGAGCCTCCCCCACCCTCGTGAACCTGGGTTAGCTAGAAGGCATTATTACAGATATGCAAGAGCTAGAACACACCATCATAATTATAAACTTGAGCCACAATCTCCATATTATCACGCAGTATTTCACAGACTAACTGCAATCAATAGTCAAGCGTGTTTTAGGAGATATTTTCCTCAAATTTCGTTTTTTCTTTAATTTATTTGTGGGTTAATAATTGCGTCATTAGCAGAAGCAAACGTGAGGAGGAATTTTACCCTCATGATTCATCTATTTTAGGATTTCTGATTAAGATCACATATTGCTCATTGGTGATGTTCACGGACAGGTTCACGGATAAGTACAAACTACAGCTCTGTCCCGAGTGGTGTGGCTGATTTTGGGTATTAAAGGGTGGGGGAAAGAAATGAAAATAGGGACAGAGTGAGAAATAGGGGGTATTAGAGAGGGAAAGCGAGTAAAGGTTTCTACAACAGAGAGGGGGTGGGGTGTGGAGATGGCTAGACACAGAGGGTTGGAAAGGATAGAGAGAGAAGGTATTTGGTGAAAGCAGAGTTGGAAAGGGAGAAGAGATAGGGGGGGGGGGGGGGGGGAGGTCCAAGGATAAAGAGAGAAGGTATTTGGGGGAAAGCAAATTTGGAAAGGGAAAAAAAATGGGGGGGAAGGTCCAAGGATAAAGAGAAAAGGTATTTGGGGAAAGCAAAGTTGGAAAGGGAGAAAAGATAGGGGGGAAGGTCGAAGGATAAAGAGAGAAGGTATTTGGGGAAAGCAAAGTTGGAAAGGGAGAAGAGATAGGGGGGGAAGGATGAAGGATAGAGAGAGAAGGTATTTGGGAAAGCAGACAGAGTTGGGAAGGAAAAGATAGAGTAAATGGTAGAACAGGTTTAGAGGAGTGTAGAATGAAATGATTAGTGGAGGACAGTCTGAGGAAGCATTGAATAGTTCATTATAGAGGAAGAAAGGAAAGAGAGGAACATTTAAGATGGGTGTGAAAGGGAGGTGTGGGGGGGGGGGGGGGGGATTCTCTTATATTGAGAGATACTTAATGTACCTCAGTGCAATGCTTCGAATTACAGTTCTCCGAAGACTTATTATTTTCAACCCGTTTACAAGATTGGATACAATCAGTAAAAACAACTAAAATTTGACTTAAAAAATGTTCATAGGTAGCTTCAATGGTCCGATAAAAAATTGTAGAGAATTACTTCCCTTTAAGTTAAAACGTAGATAAAACGTTACCTTTTTGAATTTCTAAAGTATGATTCGCACTACGTAAAAATTTGGTGGCCTTTAAAAATGTTTCGACTATAACAACAACAGTGACGTATACAGGGGATGGGCCATTGGGCCATTCTCCCCAACCCCTCCCCCCTCAGGCTCGTGAAAGGTCAATTTTTTACTGAGTTTTGCACCAACCCCCTTTCCCTCAACCTTCCGGGTTTTTTTTCTAGATTCGCCCCTGAACATCACTATTTATATCTCGTACATTTTCTAAATATACACGAATAATGTTATAAAGTTTAATATATATATATATGCATGCACCAATTGACAAAGAAAGCAATATCAAGTCAACAACATTTTATGATGTGCCCTAATTACCGGTAGGAGTCGCTGTGACTCAGTGGTCATTGGGATAATAAACAGGGGCCTCAGGCGGTGAACATTAAAGATCCCAAGGCAAATGCTGCTGTCCTGGCATTATCTCTCTCCTGGCTATCTACAAGACGTTGCCCGTCTTCATTAGCCCACTTCCAATTAACAAAATTACCAATTAACAAAACAAGAACAGAATTCAAATAAGAACCAATATGGCGGATACTCTCTAACCCAATTTCTAGAATGAATACTGTTTAATTCAGTTGGTGTAGGTCGTTACTCGCTAATCCAATTTGCTTTATTGACTCATTAGCGAAGTCTGATAAGAAACAGTCGTCTAATTCAAGAACCATATTTAATACGGCGTCCACTCGGTATCGTGAGGTTTCATTGCATCATTGTCGGCCATCTTAGATTAAATTTCAATCGGCCTCGTTATATTCGAGGTACATCATTGTCGGCCATCTTGGATTAAAATTCCACTCGGCATCGTTCGAGGTGCGTCATTGTCGGCCACCTTAGATTAAATTTCAATCGGCATCGTTATGTTTAAGGTACATCATTGTTCGGCCATCTTGGAAACACGTTCGGTTTGCAAAACATGACAAAAATGTCGGCCATATTGGATCGACCATCTTGATACATTTCAGGACTTAAGATTAAGGCAAGCGATGCAACGTTGCTGCGAGAACAATTTAACTAAACCTTCAGTATATTGGACATTTAATTTCTACCACAAGGGTATGGATTAGGGTCTTAATCCCCAAGTAAACGGTCTGGAAAGTGGGAACATCCGTTTAAAGCGATTCGGAATAAATTTGTTTGTATCTAAGGAAATCTAATGAAGTTAGTTGGCTCATTAGTAGTGTTTTGACGAGTAGCAGAGACTCAATAAACTAAACCTAATAGAACATGGCGATCGATTGTTGAAAACCTCATGGGACGAATAACTTGCTAACTTCTACCCTCAAACACCGTGCTTAGTCCAAACTCGATAATTGAATGCGACATTTGGGAATGCTGGTGTAACTTCACTCATGGTAAAGACGAACCAGTGCAGACGAAGAATTGGTATGAAACGTTGTATGTCCCAATGTTTTACACCTAATTGGGCTAGAAGTCATACGCCCTACTATTTGCAAATGAATAACGCTACAGCAGTACCAAAATATTGGGTACTGCGTTCTATTTTCCGCTCCCTTGCAATCCAATCAAATCGCTACATTCAAACTTCAATGATCCATGAAAATATCCTAATGAAGTCAAGGTATTAGATGCAGTTTGTAATACCTTGACCTCGTGAAGATAAGGTCATACCTATCTGAAATGAGTTTATTTTGAACTGGGAATTTTTTCATTCTCCCAACATGAAATGTCAATTAGAGGTGTCAAGATATATCCTAGTACTTTTCTATATTCGTGGATTGGAGAATCGATGAGAACTTTAGTTTTATTTTTACGGAGAGTAAAGCCTCTCTAGCCTGGGGCGTTTCAGTTGGGGCTACCCCGCTCCGTCGCAGCCCTTCCCTTTACGATTCATTGAAACGCCACATTAAAAATGAACAAGGAAATACAACATTAATAAAAGCAATTTATTAGAAAAGAAGTAAAAATAACAAAGAATACGGAGATTAAGTAGGAAAAAATGAAAAAATCACAATTTCTATATCACAACTACATCCTGGACGAATCCACTTTTATCTTTAATATTCACTTCCGTTTTCAAGTTCAGATTAGTCGCTTAACTTAGTAGAAAATAGCAGATGAACAAAAGAGATGACAAGCTGGTCAGCTCAGCTGCAAAGTGGAATTAGGTGTTCTGGAAGGTCACCATGTCAGTAAGCTAGAGCACTCAGTAATCGCTCCAACAGCTTCTTCTGTTCCACCTTTGAGCTCTCTGATTTTTTGGACAGGGATGTTGGTGGTACAGATTTATTTTCGATAGCAGGTTAGGGCTTGCTCTTCTCAGGTTTGTGGGACTCGGCCTTAATTTGGTCACCTCCAGAATCAGAAAGGAAATCGTCAAAGCGGTCGAACACATCATCGAAGAACTTACTCAAAACTTGCTCCATTTCTCGCACTTTAGCAGCCATGATTTCCAGTTTTTCCTGTTTTTCGACGAGTTTCACTGTACCGGGATATCCCTCGTCGGGGCCGTCCATCAGAACCTTGTCAATTCTGTCCAAACTGTCAGCTCTCATAGACAGCATTCTAACTAAGTTGTCGAGCAAATGTGTCATTTTAACGGCGGACTCTTCGAACGTGCTGGGCCGTGAATGTGACGACATCTCTTCATCTCCAACAACAGGTACAAGCGTGTTCTCATTGTGTTCCTCTAGTCCAAAAGCTTCATCATCTGCTTCAAAGTCTTCCTGCTCGTCTTCTGCTTCTTCGTCTGCTGTGTGAACTTCCTCTACTGTGTCCTCTTCCCCTACAGTGTCGCCTCCTGCCTCCTTTCTCGCTGTTTGATCTTCCACTATAGTTTCGACTTCCTCTTCCGCTGGGTGGACTTCCTCTATAGTTTCGACTTCCTCTATAGTTTCGACTTCCTCTTCCGCTGGGTGGACTTCCTCTATAGTTTCGACTTCCTCTATAGTTTCGCCTTCTTGCCCTAGGGTGCCTGCTTGATCACCATCCTCTATAGTAACTCCCTGATCACCGTCATTTTTCAAACCAGTAAAATAGCCGACTTTGGCCAATTCATCCTCAATTTTGCTAGAGTCGAGTTTAGTTGTGACTGGTTTATCTGAAATTTAGAACGTATATTCTGATATATTCATATCATTAAACACAAAATATACTACTTCTAAATTTATTACATACTTCGTACTTCTATACATCACACAAAGATTATATTAACATCAAAGTTCTAATGAAAAGTTCAGAAGCAATCATGCCATAAAAATACAAAGATATACAACCAACTCAAAAGGTACCTTATTCAACAAGCATATCACGAATATTTAGCCCCCAAATTAAGACGTATGCAAAAAGGGCCTTATATTTGGGATATATCCGTATTCAACGAGCAAATCATGAATCTGTAATCAGCAAGCTCCACCTAAACAACGACATCTTCACAATGATAAGCTATTACGAACTTCGTCTTCACAATCAACGTCAAGCTATAACCAACTTCGTCTAATACCTTGACATTGTGAAGATGAAACAACGAGGATCCTTAAACATTGAATTAATGAAAATACGTACCGGCTTTTGTGTCTTGTAACTCTCGTATCAGTTCTCTTAGAACGAATTGGCCTCTAGAGATGGAAGCAACGGAACCAAGAACTGCGAAAACAACCAGTGCGGTGAGATATAAGGACGTCTTCATCTTGCTTCTGTTAAATCTACTCCGCGACTCAATAGTTACATGTCAGTCTCATAGTTTGGAGCAATCTTTCCGCTCTAGATCAGATCTTTTCATTAGCAAACCTGGTTTTTCGACAACCCACTTTACCGTTTTTATTTGGTTTATTCATTTCTAAATAATTCAAGTGAAACTAAATTTTGCATTTTCATCAAATTTTCATCCGTGTGACTTAATTTACATTAAAGAAGTAGCAAGTATGAATTAAATTGTAACAACGCAGACTGAAATAGGTCAGTTGTCTGAAGATTGCAGAGCGTGAAACTCGTTCAGGTTCTGTTTTGATATTTCTAATTGTAATGTTAAACAGTCTTGTTTCAACAGATGATACACTTCTTACGCATATATTGACAAGGGTTTATAAGAGATTATCTACCTTATTCATGTGTGACGTCTGATTGAGAATCCGAATGGTGTAATTGATATTATCAGTGTCCCAGATACACATAAAAAATTTTAAAAACCTCTTTACAATACCTTCAAGGCATATCAGATTTTTCGCCAGCGAATACAACCAACCAGAGTCCGCGATAGAAAGTCTGTAAACCATAAGCCATAATGAGTACTGATTGGCTCTATTCACTGGCGAACAATCCAATCAAATCGTTGTATTCTGTGATACAAGAAGTGGCTATTATAGTCAAGATATAAGTTCGCAATAGTTTGTGAAGACATTGTGACGATAGTCCATAATCCGCATTACTCAAAACTGCGTCACCACAGTTATTTTTACATTATTTTGTTTTTTGATCAAAACATTTAAATAACGACATGACATCAATCAGAAAGAAATTGTTCAAAATCAAAGATTTACATTACAAAAAAACTAATAAATTTCCGTGATTTGTTGCAATCTGTTTTTAATCTTGCCCAAGGCACCAGACGATATTGCATTAATATGCTAGATATTTCTAAGTCGGTTGACCACAAAACTAAAATACTATAAAAATGAAAAAAATAAGGTTTTCTTTTTTGTTTTTCGGGTCAATATTTTCAATATAACCACGAGGATTTATTGTAGTCATCTTGCACTTCTGTCGAGAGCTCTGATTGGCTTATTAGATGGCGTACAATCCAATCAAATCGCTACATTACAAGAAAGGTCAAGGTATAAGTCCGAATAGCTTGACCTTTTGAAGATGTATTTAGCATATAGTGTTAATTATTATGATATTGCTATGAACAGTATAATATTTCTAGGATCCGACACGACAGTTCCTCGTGACCTTGATTACAAAGTACAACTAAACTGAAGACACCTCTGTATATTCCATTCCAAAACGTACAATCTATTCCAAATATTGACCTTAACGTTTCGTTTTTCTCGATTTTTCTGTGGGTTATTGCACTTGCAGTCTCTGACACCAAGACATATATTACCTCATCTGTAAGAAAGCATTGATGTAGGACTGGATGATAGATGCTACCGCACTTGCCATCCATGGATGACTTATATAGTAATATTCAGAAAAAATCCAGGAAACGAAATATCCAGAACTGCATTTGAATCAAATAATAAAAACTAAAAAAACAATGCATGAATTGTGTGATAAAAAAAGAGAACAAAAGATCCAGATTTACATTTTAATCAAATTAAATAAAACTTAAAAAATATCTTAGGTTGAAACCTGACTCATAAATCACAAATTTTGTGGAATTTTTTTGACCAGAAATAAAACTACCTGAGTAAGAATAGAATGGTGGTTTCTATCAGAATACTAGGGTCATAAACTTATCAGAATTTGACTTTAACTGACAATGACGAATGACCTCGACATTAAAAATAATATGTAGATCATCCGAACACTTCGTCAGTATCCAAATAATAGTAATAGTATTAGCTATGTGAACTCTCTGAAAGCGATGCCGAGTTGACAAACCAAAATACCAAATAACATTAATAGCTATTTGGTAGTGGCGTTTCAGGGTATTCGGTAATGGGGCCAATTAGGGGCATTGTCAATTAAGGGTGGGGGTGGTGGTCTAGCCGGGCCAGCCTCATTTCTGGGAAACACTACTGCTATGTGGACGCACTGAAAAGGAGGCCTAGTTTACAAATATATAAAAGTGAGTATTGATTTACGAAGCAGAATATTTCGGACTGTTTCCAGTCCAGATTTCAATATTTTAAACAGTTACAGAATTAGAAGCGGGTGGTTTGAAACGTGATGGAAAGATCGTGTCTGCATCAGTCTTTAAAAACATCAACATGATCAAACACTTGCCAGACTTCACCCTTTTTCTCATCTGTAACTCTTATTGGTAGGACTGTCAACTTTTTTCTTATTTCTTTTATTTTAAATAATCAATCATAAATTGTATAAATTCAAAATTTGAACGTAATAAAAGCAATACTTCGGATTTTTCATACATTTATCAATATCTTTTCGATAAAACAAAGGTAAGCTTGTACACGTTTTTGTTTTTCTGTTCTCGACATAATCAATTAATTCATACGTGAACTTCATTTCAAAAGATTATTATCAAATCATCAAATCGTTACGTAAGTAGAGGTTATAAAATCTGAATTCTTGTTGTTTTAATGGTTGGTATTTATAGTATTGTGTTATTTAACTATGTATTTGGATCAGAGGTAATTTAAATCAGTATTTCTTTGATTAATAGTATCCGAAATTTGCTGTGTCGAATTTATATTACTTTAAAATACATCTACACTTAATATTAATACAAATGATCACAAAAGGTAACCTTGTCTTACGCCGCGATTACATTTTTTTTTCTTTTTAAAACTATGTCTTTGTCTGATAAATTCTAAAACATTTCACTTGAATATATTCCTCTGATTGAGAAGAATGGAATTCGGCACATTTCGTGGCCCCATTGACCAATAAGCCCGGGACAGGGCGTGCTTGTTTGGGGACTTTTTCTCGGCAAAGTTTTTCGAGAAATTTTTGAAAAATTTCGGTGAATATAATATTCATATGTATTAAAAATAATGGCAAAGGCTAGTCCAGGTTAAAAATAATTAAACAATTAATAATAATGGAGATGATCACAAAAGGTAACCTTGTCTTACGCCGCGATTTATTTTATTTATTTTGAAAATATGCTTCTTTTTATATCCTTTTTGATTAAAAAGAAACTAGCAATTTTTCGGCTGCAATTGAGGATATTTTCTCATTCTTCCTGTGCCGTATTTATATGTCGTATTTTTTCAGGAATTCCCTGCGGGTCAGAGGATAGATAGATCATAGCCACGATGAAAGTGTTAGTAACTGCGTTAATTATCAGTTTCAGTACAGCTGTACTAACTGTACCTGTTTCTATAATTACTGCTCCTCTGTCTGTGGAAACTATTCCGGGTTCCAGTTTGGACTCAACTAAAGTTCTAGGTAAGCCAGGACACTTTATCAATAAATGTGGACACTCAAAAGTCACTGAACTATCAAAAACTGCCTCTGCATATACCTATCTTAGCACTAGCTTAATCCAATACCAATAAATTTAATGTGGACCCTCCAAAATTTGCTTTACATGTTTAATTTCATATAATCGCACCACTTCTTTGAATAGAGATCCAACGCCTAGTCGATATACAATTAAATAGAAACAAACACTGTAGTGGTATTGTAGTGGATTGTAGCTAACCGATATTTCATTCGTTTGTCAGTAAACTAGATCTATCTATAGTTTTAAGGTATCTGTTTTTTCGACTCTTGCTGACCGACATTTTTCATATTTTTCAGGGAAACTGGAAGCAGCCTACGCCCAATATGGAGCCGACTCAACTAGTTTTAAAAATTCGCTCCAGAATATTATAAATGCCTACATGTCGATCGCCGCTGATTACGAAGCCCAAGCTGGAATACTGGAAGTGAGGGCAGATATTGCCGAAGCTGCCAAGAATGACGTATTAGCTACAGAACTGGAAATAAAGGGAGATGCCTTAGAGGCCTTGGCGGTTAGTCCATTTTTATCAATAGTTTTATTATAATTTGTTTTAAATGTAGTCTCGATGTGTAATAATAGTCTACTTTGCCTTAATAAAAAATATAAAGATTTAGAAATTTGCTTTTAGTCAAAATTAGTCTGAAATTTCAAGTGTTTGTGGCATTAATGGATTCGTTTTTTTTAATTTAGGAGGGGTACACAAAGACGGCTGAAATGTTGCAAGAATTTTTGAAATTGATCAGCGAGCACGAACACAAATTGTCAGTAGTTTTCCGCGAGGTGAAATCTGGCATGATTGGAACTGCTGCGATGGAGTCAAGACTTCGACCACAGGCCACATCGTCTCTACCAACAACTGGTGGACAACCATCTACTGGTGGACAACCATCTACTGGCGGAAAACCAACAACTGGTGGACAACCAACTACTGGCGGACAACCATCTACTGGTGGACAACCATCTACTGGCGGACAACCAACAACTGGTGGACAATCAATAACCGGTGGACAACCAACTACTGGTGGACAACCAACAACTGGCGGACTACCAACAACTGGTGGACAACCATCTACTGGCGGACAACCAACTACTGGCGGACAACCAACAACTGGCGGACAACCATCTACTGGTGGACAACCATCTGGACTGGTGGACAACCAACAATTGGTGGTCAACCAACCGGAGGAAACACCGCACCCGAACCGACAGCTCAAGATGTTCAGGCATTACTCGAAAGTTTGTTGGCAAATATGAGTAACACTGTGTAAATTTCACTATTTCTATCGAGTTTCAATGTTCAAAATGACAAAATTGGATCAAATAAATTCTGCTTTAGAGAACTAGTGAGCGGTAATAGACAATGTGATAGCTTCCACGCTATGGTAGATGCTAACTGACTTTTTGTGTATCGTATTGATGACATTTATTTTGTTAAAATGGCTCAAGAGCTGTGCAATAAAGCATTTCGTCGTAAATCAACAGCGCCTTCCCTTTATTAAACTTAAGATAGGCCTAGGAGCCTACAGGGCTTAGATACCGACAGTGCATTATATGCAAGTCAGTTACTGTGTAAGGGAAGTAACTCGATTTAAAAATATTTTCTATACTACAAACTACAGCTACTTTCTCAAAATCCGTACCTTATATAACACGACCCACGCTTTTACAACTGAATATCTGATACTTTAGATTATTTCATTGATCAAATGGAAAGATGTACAGTAACAATACAATCCAAGAGAATGGCTCCACGCAGTGGAGGAATATTATTCAAATGGCCTGTATTATCAGTCTTCGAAAGGCAAATATAATGGTGGTAGATGGTGGGTTTATTAGCAAGTTTTCGTAGACCTGTATAAAATCTTCGCTACCCTCAGTTTTTCCTTCCCCCTGCCCATTGGCTTACCCCATTACTTGATATGAATAACTCTTACATACTGACTAACTGGCCTGAATGGCCTTAGATGATGTTTAAATGGGATTATACAATAGGTCTACTCTCTATTTGTAACGTAGAGATATAGGCCTACGTGTAGATTTTTTTCTGTGGTAACTTAAGCGTATTTAAGCTTAAGCTATCTTTACCCTTTTTAAGATCATATTCTATATTACCCACCTTTGAAGAAAACGTTTGAACTGTACTGTGTCTTGATTCTCTTCAAATTCCCTGCAAACAGAAAAAAAATATATTCCGAAATTGCAAAGTTTGATAGAGCCGTTTTTAAATAAGAATATGAATTGGGAAGTCCTTAGGAGATGACCTGTCTATAACCGACTGTTGCCAACATTAGAGGCATCTACAGATCTCTAGTAGACACAGCAATCATCAGGGAAAGCTATTGGCACCAAACATTGGACTGGAAGTAAGCTAGAATATACATTCAGAAGATATAGTCAGTCCTATACATAGTGACAATTACGGTGTAAGGGAAGTAACCCGATTTAAAAATATTTTCTATGCTACAGCCTACAAATACATTCTCTAAAATTCGTCCCTAACTGAATACATACACGACGTTTTAGATATATTTATTGATCAAATGGAAAGGTATACATGCATATATTGGAATGCAATAGTATTAACTACGCTAGTTATAGACATACTACACTTAAATTCTACAAATTTCATAGGTCTGAGAGGGGTTTTTACATTACACTTTTCTGAATCTGATTGTGGTTTCCGGGACAGGAAAGTATGTGTATAGGGGAAATTCTGTGCGTTGAGGGATGCCTATTGTGTACAGCCTACAGTACAACAGAGCCATGGTTTATTGTCTCATTTAAACAACGTTATACTTTTAGCATATCTGTTTTACTGGATACAGAATTAGGCTTAAAAGATTTAATGGAGACAAAACTGTTTTAAAATTTCAATTTTAATTCAAAAGTTTCACATCGGATGGAGGAATTCTTCCCTGAGATTCCACCATGTAGTAATACTTTATCTTTATAAACTAAACAAACATGGCCACTCCGTCCTACACTACTCGTACCCAGCTTATAAAAATTACCCACAGGCTTGACAGTCATTAAATACATATCACCCACCGGTTCACGACACTTCCCGTCAAATGTCTCTCCACCATGAAGAAATAGTCCCCCAGGTACAGGTAAGGATATGTGATGTTTGCGTCCACTTGGAAATTTGTGTAATGCTTTGAGTTTTCCTGCTGCTGATACTAAGTTTTCTATAACAGAGTTAGCATGAGTGTATTTATTTGAATATCCTGTGTACACGTCTACGAGTTTATCACTTCTACCACCAATAATAAAAACTTTCGTACCGATAATAGAAGTTGTATGACCGGACCGTGATGTCACTGAATTACTGAATTCTGAATATTTAAAACCTGAGGTTTGATCTCCTGAAAAAGAGACAAAATATGAAGTAGAAATAAGGACAATGGTTTGCTCCTCATTTTATTCATAAGACAGTGGCAGTATGCAATGGGGTAAAATCTAAGGGAAAACAGATAGATATACAGAATTGATTATACACTTAGTAAGATTGTCAAACAGGGGAATAACCAACCATATAGATGGAGTATGGTTACAGACACAGAGCGATCAAACAAAATCATTATAACATACCTGCCATCAGATAAGCGTTACCATGACGTCTCTGCATACGTAGACTTCCATCTCGTCCTACTATTAATATCTTGCCATCTGAGAGTTCGTTTACAGTATGAGAACTTAGACCACCATCTTCAGGGAAGCCAGTAGTGGGAGGTTCAGACCATTTGTTCTCTACTGTATCATACACATACACTCTACTACCTCTACTCTTACCATCCCATCCTCCTATTATTATCATATACCTTTAAATATATAATACAACACACAATTATATTTTACAATGATAACAACTTAGGTTCACATAGGATCTTATCTACCGACTGGTCCTTGGCCAAACATCTTTGCATTAAGTTTACAAAACGTTACATAACAACTTAGGTTCACAAAGGATCTTATTTACCGACTGGTCCTTGGCTAAACATCTTAGCATTAAGTTTACAAGGATAACAGTTTAGGTTCACAAGGATTCTACCAGCTGGTCCTTAGCTAAACATTTTGGAATTGATCTTTCTATCCTAACTCATTAACAGCCGAGTTGACTAGAATTATGAGTAAATATTTATTCATTTGAGAGGTCATGGTTCAAACGACAATGACATCTCTATACAAAAAGATATTTGGATAAAGTGAACTACAGTTCCATCTATTATTGATAAGGAGCCTAGTTTAAACAGTTATGTGTAGACGAAATTGTTTCAAATACTAACCTATCATCTCTAACTAGACAAGCATGATGACTTAAAACTGGGCTATCAGGGCTTACAATCTGGTTCCATATCAACGACTCTAGATCTAGTTTATATAACTTATTACATGGAGAGTTACTGCCCTTGATTTCAATACCACCATGTAGATACACAGAATTATTCACAACACATCCTGAAAAGACCATGAAGTGGGCAATGAATTTTATTAATGAACCTGAATCATTTTTCCATCTCAGGCCCTCTAGCCAGTATCACTGACAGGGGGAGAAAACAGGTTATAAAATCTAGGTATTTTGTTTGGGGAGCAACTGACCATCTTGACTGACCCACAACTAAAACACTGATTAATCAAGCTACTTACCCACATGAAAAGCTAAAGTTGGACCAAGAGGAATCAAAACTTCCCAATCTACTAAACAGCTGGATGATGGCTTGCCTGCCATTCTAATTACTGATCATCTATACTGCTATTCAACTCATATCATACCAGGGCCAGCTTAATCTAAATATTCAAAAATAAAATAATTAGGCCATTGACACGGCAGGACTAGAAATCAGCATCAGGAACAAGTAGATCTACAACATTCAAACAATTAGACCTTTTTTCAAGCTCTATTTATTCCAAATTTACAGTCTTGTAGAGTTGAAGATTAAAAAAGGTTGATTTTTATTATCTTTTGAAACTGAAAGTAGAACCTTAGATGTATTTAGTTACTCAATTAACCATTGGCTAGGCCTATTCTTGGCCTATAAGCTTAGAATAGGAACTAACAGTAGGCCCAGGGTCCAAACTAATGACAGCAATTCAATTATAATCAATGGATGACCAAATTAGCCTAATTTATAAACCTAATTTGCTCGATCATTAGTAAATAATCAGCCTATGGCATTTGTTTTTATTTTTGAAAATTTCCAAACTTTTTACTTCAAGAAATGTGATCGTGACGAGTGATCCGTTAAGATGGAAATGTAGATGGGTTCACTCACATTAAAACTGCAATTTGAAGCCACAGAGAGCACCTGTCATCGTCATTTTCTAACCATTTACAACTAAAAACACCGAATTCGTCTGCTTGTCTGAACTCGCATCGCCATTTTGCAGGTGCCCGTATGACGTCACTGTCTACCCAGAATGCCGAGCGAGGCTTGGGTGCACTAGAAATTATTCTACGCTGTCGAAGGTGAAAAATCAAGAAATTTAACAATTTAAAAGGTAATATGGGCGAACTTATCGTTACAGATAGGTTGTCTCTACATTTTTGATTAAGAATCGACAAAAATATGTCCGACCTTAATCCAGATTACTGAAATATCGATGATGATCTGCCTTTGAAATTGTGCACGCCTTGGCCTCTCCACACTTTCACTTAGTAAGGAAGGAATCGGTGGGTAGATTTCATAATTAAACTATCGTATTTTAGACTCAGTCTTGGCTTTGATAGTGAAAATGAAGGCTTGTAGATAGTGACACATTTCCAGGCAGCACTGAAATAAAATTATTGAACACTTTGTAGACAGCTGCATTAAGGTCATTTAACTCTTTTGACAGAGAATTTAAATATTCTGCTTAGTGCTTTAAGTGTAATCTAATGGAAATTTCTAGACAGTCTATGTGTCTACAATCTTTTCTATTTAATGTTGCAAGGACGAAAGTTTGGTGGCTTTGGAAAGAAATAATGTTTGAGCCAACAAAGGAGAAAGTAGTAAGATGACACAAATCTGAGTAGCTATTCAACATATGACATCTATGAACAATGTTAAAGTCAGCTCGACAGTTGAAAATAGAAAAGAGTGGGCTAATTCCGCTGTCCTGACAAAATTCCCCTTATTGCATACTGCATACGGTTACCCGTCTTCATTAGCCCAATTAGTTAAGTATATAATAAGTATAGTAAAGTAGGACGTAAAACTCCATTCATTTAATTTTCAAGTCAGCTAATTATTATTATTTATTTCAGATCCCAGAAAACATTCAAGATGTCTGACGATGAAGATCAAAACGATGTTGATATTTCTGTTATAAGAAAAGCCATCGAGATATCTGGTAATATGATAGAACAGATTTTAAAAGGAATTCATTATGGTTCTCCGGAAGTACGCTGTCTTCTGTACAGCGAGTGTGATTACATCCTAGAATGTAAAGTTTGTCGTAACCTTTTCCGATCTCTGGCCAACTTCGTAGCTCACAAACGTGTTTATTGTACCCTGGCCTTTCAACAGTCTGATGATTATTTGAATTTAGTTCACCCTGATGAAGAAACGGTCGTAGTTCATCCAGAAATGCCGGACGACACTAAACAACAGAAACAGAAAAAGTCTGGCAGTAGATCTCTGGAAAGTACGGTTCAACAACTTAAAGATGGTTCCCTAGGTCATTCAGCAGCTTATAAACTCTTTTCTCAGGCAGCAGATAAAATAGAACAACAACGCGAAGCAGCCAAAACTCAGACCTTGACCTTTGAACCCATACCTAACACCACTAAAGCCATGAAAGTGACAGTAACCCCCGGTGTTCCGGAAGCACTAGAAGAAACAATGAGTTTGGCGTCTGAAGCTTCCGAGTCTTCAATACCAAGCACGTCAAAGTTATCCCCCTTGCAGTCGTCTCCCACGGCAACGTTGAAATCAATGCTTTTAAAATCCGCCTTGGAAGGAAACACCTCAGGATCCTTAAACGCACATCAAAACAGTCCAGAGAAAGTTTCAATCAAACAAAACCCCAAGTCTGTGTTGTCCCCACCCAAGAAAATGACTCTAAGATGTAAAGAAGGAATGAAGGGCATGCCGTGGAAGAAGGGTCGGTCTGACAGTGAAAGCCCAAGTCCGAGTGCCGAGAACAAGATGGATTTTAACACGTTAGAATGTCTAGAATGTAACACAGCATTCAGATCCAAAAAAACTTTAATTATTCACTACCAGAATGCACATTGTGGAAAACGTACATTTTTCCCTTGCCCTTTATGTGAGAGTGTTTTTTTCTATATTTTTGGTCTGACAAGACATTTGACCAAGGCTCACAACAAAACAAAGCTGCAAATTGACAAGATGCGTGCCAAATTAAAGAAAAGCAGTTTTGTGAAAGAAGTCACAGAGCAATGTCTATCAGCTCGCGAACAGATTCAACATGTCAAAAACACAACGGTGACCTCTACGTCAATTAGAGTTCAGACAGATCCAAGCAAATCAGATCCAGGGGACATTATTCAAAGCACATGTTTTCAGACGCCGAGCAAGGAAGACCACGTGTGTTCTAATTGTGGTCGAGAATTCGCCAAAAAAATGAACTTGTTAAATCATAGGAAAATTTGTCTCACCGAAGGGTGCACGTCGGTGACTAACACTGTTTCCAAATCGGTCGGTTCCAATGTTAGTAGCGTCAACACGGTGAGAAAATCACCAGTATTCACTTCAGCTAGTCAGAGCAGTTTAAATTCTGGGTCTAAGTCAGCTTCAACCCCTGGTACTAACACCAAATCGGTGACTCATATTGCTCGAAAATCTCCAACAGTAGTGGTGTCAAAACTGTCAGAAGATAAAACTGGACGTCCTTCAAAAACCATCACTGATTCAAAACAACTGGATAATGATGATAAAAAAAGATCTGCGGATTCTACGTCACCTTCAACAGATGGGAAAGTTATGGTGGAACGCCCCGAAGTCAAATCAGAGCCAACTGAAATCAAGAGACCCTTGGTAAAAACCACGGCCAGAAACAAAACTGGGTGTAAATTTAGTCGACGTGTTGTCAGTCCCCCACCTCCAAATCTTTTACCAACTGGTGGATCAACGACATCGTCACAGGCCACTGAGACATCAACAGATACACAGGAGCGAAAACCCCTCGTCAAGACAACAGCACGATCAAAGAAAGGATTTAAACCTCGTGTAGCAAATCCTCGTATGGACATAGATCAACTGGTGCATTCTGGGATTACATCCTCGTTAGATGGGAGCGACAATTCAGATGATGAAACAGACGTTAAACCTGAAATATTTCTGGAAATACAGAATCCCGCGTCAGTCGTTCGTAAATCTGTTCCAAATTCAGAAATAAAAGATGAAACCCTCCATGAATTTGGTTCTGTGAAAAGAAAGTCTAATGTAGTGGAAGAAATTTGGGTGGACAAGTTGCCAGGGTTACCAACAGAGAAAGTTCGATCCAATCGAACATACGTAGTGAAGTCAAGTACCCATCAAAAACTGGAGTGTCAGGATACAAAACGTTTACGAGAAATTGTGAATGAAACTAATCTGGTGTGTAAACATTGTAGTCTGGAATTTAGTAACGTGTCTAATCTCAGACGCCACGCTATTCGTCATTTAGGTTGGAAACGTTACAAGTGTAAAATGTGTAAATTCAGTAGTTATAACAAATCAGAATGTAACACGCATTTAATACGTACGCATTCAAATCGTTTTAAAAACGTCTCGTCTATAAATAGTTTGATTGTGGATTTAGGAAAGGAAGGATCGAGAATGCGTTCTCGGAAAAAACAACAGACATTGTTTGAAAGACAGGCTGCAGAATGCGCGGAGGCTGGTGAAGATGTCTATGTCACTGACACGAGTTATAAACGTTTCAATAAGAAAGGGAAATCAGAAGAACTGAAGGTTTCGCCACCCTCTAAAAAACGCTTGAGAGGAGAAAAGGGAAGTGACATCACTCCGTTTAATATATCAACCAGAAATTCTCCACGTGAATTTGATATCAGACCCTATAAGAAATTAGACCCAACCACGACATTATGTACGCGGAAAAGTTCTTATCCGAAAAAGATCACGATTAATTCGAAATTTCACGATGATGATGATAGCCACGATGAAGATGCTGATTCACGGTCTTCATTTTCTCAATCCAGTCAGTCGTCAAAGTTGAGCAGATCGGACTCGTCATATTATACAGCATCACAGAGTAGTGCTAGATCAAAAAGTGACGTTGCTCATGTCAGTGATACAGACTCGGAAATATCAGTTAGGAGTAGGAATAAATCAAACGTTGACAGTCCTCAAACACGGAGATCAACTCGCGTGGGACATGACCCCAGTGAACTTAGAGCTGCTCGAAATTTAACACCAGATCTTCTGAACTAACATGATGGGTGTTTTTTTTTTATTAAGTGAATTCCTAAGCTTTAAAAGATGTGTGAAATTGGGTTCCTGACCTTTTGAATTAATATGATGCTTGTCTTTATGATTTGAATTAAGTGAATTCTAGATTTTGATAGCTGGATGAAATTTATCTACCAATCTTCTGATTTAATGTGATGGTTTTTTTTTTAATTAATTGGATTCTAGACTTTGAAAGATGCGTGAAATTGGGTACCCTACCTTCTGAATTTATGTGATGCTTGTCTTTATTTGTATCAATTAAATGCTAGATTTTGATAGCTTGTTGTACAATCTGTGTGACGTTAGATGTGTCAAGCCTCAATGTTCTAAAATCTTGGCTGAGATAGAGTCAGATTGGTTTAAAATTTAGATCTATGATGTATCTTTCTTGTTCTGAAGTTTTCTAGAATTGGACACTAAAAGTGCCCATTTATCTTCTTATGAAATGATTTTCTTTAATTAAATGAATTATCATTTGTGTTAAACACTGTAAATGCTCGAGTCTTACTAGTAATCATGGAGTAGAGCTCATATTAAATTATGGTACAGAGATTCAGCTTAAATGTAATAAAGCTCAAATTTGATTCAGCTTAAAGCTTGTTAGATTGCAGAATAAAGTAAAATTTTGGAATGTTTTGTATGTTTTTGTTGTTTGTTGAACACAACAAAATAAAAGAATAATTTTCTAAAGATCAGTTTTGATTTGGGTCCATTCTTGTTGGTATAAGGAGATGAAAGCCGATACCAGGTGGACTTTGCAGGGCACCGGCACATCCTCATACCTTGAGGAGGATTCAAACCCACACCATATAATCGCAGTTGAGACACTAATGCCTAGAAGCATTGTCCATGGCATGAGAATCAGAGATAAGCCTTGATAAGGACTTCACCCGAAGGTGAAGTGTCTGAATCACCCTGAAGACTTTATGAGAATGGCCGCACTTATTAAAGATTGCTAATTTGATAAGCAATCTCCAATATACTTTTCCAAACACGAGCAAAAAAACAACAAATTAAATTTCATAATTTATTGAAAACAATCTAGCTTGCTAATAGAAAATCGGTGTAGAGTATTTGATTAACTACACTGATGCGTGGAATACATACAAGTCGGCTAGCATCAAAAGACTATCGTGGCGTGAAGCATGTGACACACATGAGCCAATCAGATTACAAGAGATATCTATGCATATGACACACACTAGCCAATCAGATTACAAGAAACATCTCTAAATCTATCTACACATAAAATTGACTATTACTTGGAAGTTGTTTGAAAAACTCTCAACATCACAGATAAAGATAAATTTAGCTCTCGCCAACTCCAAATAACAGCTTAGTTATGATCTGCCACACTTTTAATTACCAAAGGTTCAAGATTTTGGCTTTAGTTTAACACAAATGCAAAATTCAACAATAATATTTACATCTTAAGTGGCCCTGTCACCATAGTGATTACCAGTTGTGTATGATTGCGAATAAAAATGGCTGTCATAAGTTTTGATTGTAACTCTCATGTTACTGCAAATGGTGATCGCTATGGTGAGAGGGAGGGCAACTATCTATAGAGAATAAGACGCTCGAATAACAACCTACACAACAAGATATATTATATGATATATAACAAACAAAGATATTGCACGAAAACAAGTCAGTCAGTTAATAACACTGTTTTATAAATTCTATTATTTTAACATTGGTAATAGCTTGTGACATTCACAGATGTTGTAATGATAAAACCATGTCTGTAGTTCTTTCAATTCAACTAAAACTTCACATTTTATGATCTATTGCAAAGAGCCTCAGATATTATTTCTAGCTATTGTAACAGTGATGTCAGAAAACACAGAGCAAAATTAGTGGATCAATATTTACCAGTCGTAAAACAGTGTTTTATATTGTAACTGATGATGTATTTAATTCAAGGAATGTGTCTTTTTGTAGTTCAGCTGTACGAGACCGGTGTGGTGAAAAGGAGGTTCTGTTGACTGGTGTTTTACCGGTCATCTGGAATAGCAGGAAGTATAATGCCAGCACCAAGAGCCTCTCTTTCTAATGCTGCAAGTTGTCTAAAAATAAATTCAAATCACAAAAGATGAAACCTAAGAACAATACAAAATTATTTCCTATTGGACTAATTAACGTATGAAAAATTCTATGGAAATTTTAAACAGAAAGAGTTACTTCTTGCTCTGTCATTTTAACATATCCAGATCACATGGAATCATCTAAGACTGCCAAAATCCTCCCTTACCTTCTAAGTTTTCCAGCTTTAGCTTTCAATTCTTTATCAAATTCTCGAGTCTTGGTGATTTCTCTCCAGGCGTCTTCATGTGGAGTCTGATCAATATGAGATCTCAGATATAAACTGTTCCATAGAGTCTGAAAATATATCATAGAGTATTGATAACAGTTCATCTTGTATTGGTAACACGTGTTTCAGATATAAAGTTCTCATCAGGACAGCTAGTTTAGGATAGGTTTGACCACGACTCATCTCATCTTGCTGCCAGTTTTGGATGGGGAGACACATATTTCAGGTACACAATCTTCATCAGGAAAGTTAGTTTTGGTTGGGGGTGTGAGCACAGCTCATCTCATGCTGCTGACACAGGTTTCAGGTATACAATCCTCATCAGGACAGTTAGTTTTAGATAGCTAATCTTATGCTGCAGTCCCATGGAAAGAAATACGATAAAATACTAACCAGACTTTGAGGAGCAACAGACGGCCAGATAACAACTGGATTAGGTTCATACATGGGATTTAAATACTGGTTTAAAACTTGAGGTCTGTTAATAAACGACCTGAAATAGAGAATTAAAATAGAGTTTTACATCCCACTATTCTGTTAAACCTAATAAATACAAGACAATCTAGATACCAGGACTGCTGATTTGTCAATAATTGCCTGAAACGTACATGACATAGTGAAAATAACCTTGGTAGGACGTCAAGTATAGGTCTGTGACGGCCCTACAACAGAATAAGCTAAGGTGTATCAAGCATCTTGTTCTAGTGCTTTAGTCATTTGTCATTGATTATACAACGCAAAAAACAAACAAATAAATGATGGACTTACCACAGAGAGACAGTTTTAGTTGTTACTTTATGTTCTATCCTTTCTTTTTCATTATTACATAAAAACGTACCTAAAATACCAAATGTTAAAAAGTAAATATAATATAAAGAAACCAAGTACTAATGATTGAACCACAAAACAAAACCAAAAATTCCCAAAAACAACACAATGGCGAAACATTGGTAGCAGCAATCAAATTTTTGTTTACAGAAAGAAGAAAATAATAAAGACTTACCATATTGTGAGGAATAAGCATGGTGAATTAAAAATATCAAAAACTCTTCGTTAAATTCAAACGAACATGGAAACTGTTGTAAGATCTGAAAACGTAACAGAAAAAGGCTGAAAATTCCTCCAATCCAATGCATAATATGATAAAATTGTTTTCAACGAAACTCAAACTGTCCAAAGTACAACATTAGAACTAGTTGTTGAAATTGAGAGAAGAAACTAGTCCACGAACCTGCCACACAGCATCTATAAATAGAATAAAGACAGGCGACTCTTTCCGTTGTTTACTGATAGCATACGCTGACTTGCTACATCTCTCTCGGAATGGGTGACCTCCCCTTATCCACTCTCTTTCTATCAACGCTTCAAACCTGAAATAAAGTAGGAAAAAAAATTAACAAGCAATCCCTCCCTTTTTCTATGAATTTTTAAGGTATGTTTTTCTATGGAGAGAATTTGAATTTTATTTCCTAGTTTTTTGCAACTAATTGGGCATAAAATGAAGAGGGTCAGTCTTACGCTTGGATTGAACCTTTAATTTTTCAAGCAGGCGTCAAACTCACTGAGCCCCCAAGGCTCCAAAAAACACTTCTTAATGGTTTAAACCTGAAAGGAACTTACCCAGAGACAGTTCGACAATCTTGATCTAAGATTAACTGAGCCAGAGACGTAACTAGTAGAGTTGTATCAAATCCATCTGCTCCGTGAACTAGCACTGACGCTCCTAAAATATACAACATATAGAGAGGTCATTAGAGGTTACTAGAGGTCAGGGCCGAAGTTCCCAATTGTTTGGACTTTAAAGCTCAATACATTGAGCTTTGTTTTTAAAGGTTTATTTAACAAAAATACTCAATAAATTATCTGTAACAAACATTTTTCCTTATTGTTCTTAACTCAGTTGTAAATGAATACGGGTAATCCAGGAAAATTCATTGCCAAGAGGTTTGAACAAGAACCTGCTGGCAGACAGGATAAGTTGTTAGCCTTTTGAAATCTGATTTTTATGTCTCTAAGATGTCCAGCATACAAATAATAGTTTAAAATGCTCAAGAAAATAAAACTCTCATACCTTCCTTATCCATACATTGAGCCACGACACATGCACATGTTAAAATATCTTTAATATGAGTCATCCAATTACTAGATTCTAACTTGGATAACCATTTATCCATACTAGAATTACTATCACTACAAGCTGAAAATAATACAGAAACATAGGTCAGTACGTCACATCGTAATAATGTTACCTTGGTAGGTGGGTTCGTTAAAGCATGCCGTCTTCTCCATTGATTGATTGGTCCCTGGCAAAAACATATTTCAAATGTTATCTTGATAACCATTGGTTGGTTTAAGCCATGTCGTCTTATCAATAAATGGATTGGACCCTGGCAAGGAATAGCATGTTTGTTCATATTTACAAAACAAACCATAAAATTGCTACGTGTAAGCCTGCCGATTGGCTACTTTGAAGAACCATGTGACACCATGAATATTTATCATCTCATTCTCTGATACAGTTTTGTCGTTTTGAAGCGACAATTCTTACCTTCTATCATTTTGATTAAAGAATCGTGGAATGCTTGGTGTCTTTCGATTGGCTGATGTATTCTTCGCCATCTTGAATAATTAGCCTCGGGTTCGTAGCCTCCACCTGGAAAGGAGATCCCTTGAATAACTCAAAATGTTTACGGATATTTCGACTTCATACAACATGTGATGCCTGGTTATGTCACACAAACTGTGGTCGTTGATTCTAATCTGGGTCAGCGTGGAAGTTTTGAATAAGTCACTTTTTTTTCAGATGACCAAACTGTACATGAGTGAAGATCTGAGTCAAGATGTTTGGCCAAGTACTAGCTGATAAACAGGATCCTTGTGAACCTAAGTTGTTATCCTTGTAAAATCAATGCCAAAACCTTACATCATTTGATAGACAGATATCCCTCCCACAATCCCTACCTGTGACAAATTCAAAGTTAATCACGTACCCTTTGCTTGCGCCATCTTGGCTACACTTTGAGCTCTAGTGTCTATGATATAACCACGTCTACCCTGACTTAAAACAGAGTTGACCAGCTTCTCATCTTCCTTACATCTATTACCATTCTGTCCTGTTAGAGGCTGACTACTTCTCATTAATACTGACTGAAATCAAGGGCAATAACTCTTAAATTATCAATATCATCCTTAGTAGCTAATCAGAGTTGTTTAATCAACAATTGTGACCTACCTTATTATCTTTATGAAAATAACTTAACACCGGAAATCTGCCATGATGTCTAAACTTGGCCACGCGTTGTAGAAGCTCATCTTCTATCTGTTTAGGTACTATAACTACACTTGGATACGACGGGCACAACTACAAAATAAAAAAACACATGAATATTTATGAGTTTTGCATAGTTCAAACTATCATCCAATATGGAATGAAAATAAAAAAAATCAAATTGGGCTAATGATGAAAGAAACAACAAAAGAACCTTTCTGCCAACTGGTCCTTGATCAAATGTCTCTTAGCATAGATCTTTCTTGTATTAATGTAAAAAAGGAAGCAGTATTCACCTTATAGTCTTTATTAACATAACTCAGTCTCCATTCTTCTCCACATTCTTTCTGTCTGTTAAACTCAATCTCTGGTGGAAACGCTTGCCAGCCATCTTCTAATATCTCAAACATAGGCCGATACGAGAAGGGATACTTCATTCCGAGATCAGCTACGATATAAAATCAAAAGTTTTACATCTACAGATGTCAAAATATCAACAAAAAATATCTAAAAACGTGTCAAGTAGGATCTGTTCCTTGATAACTATGACAAACTGTAGGATAGAGAAAGCCAAAGTAGAGTCCTACATGACTTGATTTGATTGGTTAAAAATGTTGTCATTTGAACTCAACTGAGATAGAAAAGTTGTTAGATCTTACCTAGATTAGAGAGTTGTTCTATAGAGGTACAGACATCAAGGCAATCCTCTACTGTCTGAAACTCCAGGAACAGAATAGTAAAATCTTTACATTTTAAAGTCAGGGTGCCAGTAGAACCTGTTAGCTTCTTTTCTATACTGTCTACACAACTATGTAACAACTGAAAATAATATATATTAGAAAAATAATATTCAAATAAATTTAGTTACAAAAGGTTTACGCTGGGCCCAATTTCATCTGTGTGCGTTGCTATTATTTTTATCAAACGCGTCACTCTTTAATGATATATTAAATAAATGTATACATTCTTATTTCTTACCCAGAGTTCCTCAGTATGTTGATTACGAGAAGACAGAATCAAGTGATGTCCGGTGATACACAAAGTTCCATCAACTGCTTTCTTAAATTTCTGTCTTAAAACTACATTATTTACCATTGGCGTCTTGATAAAATCTGCAAACTCCATCTTGGTCTGGTGTTATTCTGGAACAGATTCAAACAAATCAATAAAAATAAGGACGTCTGCTCACTTGGCATCAAATACCTTACAAAGGTTTAAAATATAATGAATTACCAAGGTTTATATATATGACATAGGCTATACACATTCATAAATCAAATTTTAATGATTACTTTTAAATAAATTTGTTTGTCTCAGCTTAAAAACAGTATTGTTCCTTCAGTAAGACTGGAGCTGGGTTATAATTTATATAGGTGTTTAAACAGCCATCTGTTCAACCAATTAATCAATCAATAGAGGCTAATGACATACATGAGCTAGT